TTGACGTTCCGTACGTAGTAGTTTCAATATTTAACACTTATTGAAGAACGTTTATTGAAATATTTGAAAAACTAACAGATATTTCAATTGCCCGTTAAGAAGTTTACTCTTACTCCCATGGTAAGAGTTGTGTTATCTTTGGCCTTGGCCAATAAGTATTTCAATAAGTCGAGAGTAATTTTATTGACAGATCGTCCACAAACATTGTATGAAGTGTTAATGTAGCAGACGACCACTTGAAGGATTGATATAAGGTGTCAATTATGTATACGTCAATGAAGCCATCTGAAGTCCCTAAAATGTGTACCTAATTACAGTCTCAATAGAATATTTCAAATTATTTTTCATGGTGACTAATTTACCAAACAGAAAAAATAAAACAAGCGTACAATAAGCTAGGGGACTAAGATTGAATTTGTGTAGTTGCTTATGAAAACTGTATGTGTGTCAAACACTAGAACTTCGAAACCTCGAACAGTTATTTGAATGTGTACATAGGTTCGTGGTAAAGAAGTGTTCGAGATAAAGAAGTGTTCGAGATTCCGTAGTTGTTAGGTTTCTAAACATAGTCTGCAATTTTCAATATTTTTTTGTTGCTTTCATTTATTCCGAGGGATTTCCCCTTTTAAAGATTTTTTTCTTGAGGCTCGCCAAAGTATGTGTACATGTGTTATCAAAAATAGATAGGAAAAGATGACACTAATAATAATAATAATAATAATAATAATAATAATGATAATAATGATAATAATAATAATGATGATAATAATAATAATAATAATGATGATAATAATAATAAATAATAATAATAATAAGAATAATAATAATAATAATAATAATAATAATAATAATAATAATAAAAATAATGAATCGTTTGAGTTGAATAGTAAAGGCACGGCTCATTTTCGTCTGCATAATTTAATACAACAATATTTTATGCTTATACCAACAATTTACAGCAAACTTGTCAAGTTATTACTAATTGGTAACACTTCTACAAGAATTTGCAGCATTTCCGAATTATATTTTGTTATAAAGTTGACACAATAAATTTTAGACCCTTTCATTTACGTGTTTTACAAAGGTTTTTTTGAAAGGTTTTAAGTGACAATTGAACATTGACATTGTTAACCCGCTCGCGAATGAATCCAGTGGCTTTCCAAATATACGTTTCTTTGATATAAATTAACCATTCACATTGAAGTTATGTGTTAACAAAAACATTGTTTATATATCATAAATATTTCATGAAAGTTTTTTTGTGTGTTATGTGTAATAATTGCCGCTGAATAGGGCCGGAGGATACATCAATCTTAGAGCAAGAAACTACATTTATTGCTTAGTACTGGTTGGTTCCAGGAACGGACTCGAGTGTGTTTTATATAATAAGCTTATAGCAGCCAACACAATAGAGCTGATAGTATAAATTTGTATAAACTAAGGGCCGAAAGCTACGGCGAACTCAATTAAGCCGGAATATAGATTTTTTGCTGAAAATTATGATACACAAAAGTCATCTTTGTATGGAGGGGAGTATTCGCCAAAAGTATATTTATCTTGATGACATGTTTATATCTGAAAGTTACAATCAATGTGTGTTGATTGCATTCTTATGAATACATAATTTACATTTGTGCATCTTCTATGTCTATTATTAGTTATAAAGATCGTTGACAGGTTATATGGCCCTATATAAACGGCTATTTGTAAATATAACCCGAGCCGTCAGGCGAGGGTTATATTGCAAACAGCCGTTTATATACGGCCATATAACCAGTCAACAATCTTTATAACGCATTTATAATACAGCAAGCATCATTTTGAGAGAAAACAAGTAAGATTTCTTCATGAATCGACAGCAGCCGTGTATATATATAGAGGATATTTGTTTGTTTTGCATGTAAGATTGAAATATAATTTCACTGAGTGAACACCAGATGCAATATTTTCACGAGTGGCGTAGCCACGAGTGAAAATATAATAGCTGGTGTTCACGAATGAAATATTTTTCAATCTTATATGTAAAACAAATAAATTTTCTTTTTATTTCATTCTTTTTAAGTGATTTTAAGTATTTTTTTACTGGTTTTGCCGCGTAACGTCACGCATTCTCCTTTGTGACGTCATCACATCATGACGTCACATAATCAATTTTGAAATATAGGTCTGTTAAATTTCTTTAATTTTGTTACGTTTTTAACATGATGTATGTTGACATCGACTTTCTTTTCCTAAAGAAGCAAAATTTACGCACGACGGCATTAATTTCTGCCTGTTATTCCATTTAGTTATGATTTTCTTTTCATCCGCATTCAGATATAGTCCGGCTACAGTGAAAATTATATTTTATAAATTTCACTAATGGTTTATCAGAATATAATCATCTGATATATTACAATAAATCACTGGAAAGCATGAAATAAAACTATATAAACGTCACGATTATCCAATGAAAAATGACGTTACAAACGTGCAGTATTATAATGTTTTACATACAGAAATGCAAAATTTCAAATGTATGTATGCCATTGTAAGGAATAGTATTGAAGATTGTTAATGCAGAACTGGTATCATTGCTTTTGATTTAAGTCTTGTGCAAAATGACAAATTATTGTGCAGAATACATGCGTGTGAATGCGTCAAATTAATTACCGTTTATGTCTTTATTACAAATGCAAAGTGAAACTGGCTTGTATATTTCGTTAATGTAATATATTAATTCTGTGTGATGATTAAAATCCATATTGCATACGAAACTAAACTTTTAGAAAACCTTTCATGTCCTTCTCAGACAATAGAGACAGGTGCATAAATTACACGTTGGAAAACGTCTAATGTTTTCTATTAATTATATAGAGGATATTTGTTTGTTTTGCATGTAAGATTGAAATATAATTTCACTGAGTGAACACCAGATGCAATATTTTCACGGGTGGCGTAGCCACGAGTGAAAATATAATAGCTGGTGTTCACGAATGAAATATATTTCAATCTTATATGTAAAACAAATGAATTTTCTTTTTATTTCATGCTTTTTAAGGGATTTTAAGTATATTTTTACTGATTTTGCCGCGTAACGTCACGTATTCTCCTATGTGACGTCATCATATCATGACGTCACATCATCAACTTTGAAATATAGTTCTGTTAATTTTCTCTTCTTATTTTGTTACATTTTTACATGATGTATGATGACATCGACTGTCTTTTCCTAAAGAAGCAAAATTTACGCATTGACGGCAATTATTTCTGCCTGTTATTCCATCTAGTTTGATTTTCTTTTCATCCGCAATCAGATATAGTCCGGCTACAGTGAAAATTATATTTTATAAATTTCACTAGTGGTTTATCAGAATAAAATCATCTGATATATTACAATAAAACACTGGAAAGCATGAAATAAAATTCATTCACAGCGTTTTATGTCAAATCAAATTAAGCATATCATGTTTACTTGTTTCATTGAAGAACGATAGCTCTAGCCTTGTCCATGAATAACAACGGATCCCAAAAGAATACTCTTGGGAAAGGGGAACGTATTAGATCTATAGGGAAAAGTAATACATTTTTTGTGTTGATATATACTTGTCGTAAATTAAAAGCACGAAAAACGATAAATTCTTAGATTGTGCCATATGTAAGTTTATGTTCATGTATTTAATCATTATCATTTTTAGAAGATTATTCTTATTATATTTTACTCTTAAGTCAAGGTTATTATTATTATACAACTTTACTCACATTCATTTAAAAATCACAACAAATGTCATTAATAGAACAGATGGTCCATATCCTTAACGATTCATTACGATACTGTGCGTTCCATAATGAAATAGAAAATATTTGATTAAATTTATCATAAAATGGGTGTACATGGTGTATATCCAACAAAAAAGAGAATAATATAATTATTACAGAGATCACGGGTATTGACCACTCGTATAATCGCTTTCAGAAAAGCCGTGATCGTGTCAAACATACCTGTTTGAAGACCCCCGGGAATTGGCCAACTTTCATAGACATTTAAGGTCTTATATATAAATTTTATTAAGTATATCTTCAAAAGACACAATAAGTGGGCATATTACCTTCGTCTTCATCTTCGACTTTCGAAGCCTCGAACAAACTAAATTGGCAGAAATCAGCAACAATGAATAAAGCTGAAATTGATTCGTATATACGCGAGAAATAAGTTATAGGTATTGCGTTTACCTCTCCGTACATTGTGATTTCAATATTGAACAATTATTTAAAAACCTTAAATAAAACATTTGAACACTTTGAGATATTTCAATTGCCTTTTAAGACTTGTATTGTTGACTTATATCCCATGGTAAGAACTTGTCTATCATTAAGCCGTGGCCAATAAGTACTTCAATTTTTGTTTGTTTCATTTTACGCCTTTTTTCCCAACAGTATTTCAGTCATATAGGCGGGAAGTTTTCTAACTAAGTACTTCAATAAGCCGAGAGTAACTTTATTGACATTGTCCACAAACATTTTATAAAGTATTTTGGGTAATGTAGCAGACGACCAATTGAACATGTTTTTATATTGGAATGACAGTCAGTCACCACACAAAGAATTTGAACAGAAATTATGTACACATTATAGGTACTTCAGATGGCTTCATTGACGTATATATAATACCTTGATACCTGATCTATACGTCAATGAAGCGTAGAATAAGCTAAAAGGCTAAGGGTGCATTGGTTTAGTTTCTTATGAAAATTCGAGGTAAAGAAGTGTTCGAGGTATAGAAGTGTTCGAGATTCCGTAGGGTTTAAGGTTTCACAACAGAGTCTGCAATTTTCCTATAATTTTGTTCATATCATTCATTCCGAGGGATCTCCCATTTTCCAGGTTTTTCATTATATTTTCCTAGGAATCTTATAGGCGCACCCACATGTCCATGTGTTATAAAAAACAGATAAGAAAAAATGACGCCTATACAAATATAACAGATATATGAAATACAATCATGTTTAAATATTTTTCAGTCGAGCCCTTCAGTTGCGCTACAAGCGCCGACATGGGCGCTATAAAGACATCCTTGGGTGATTTTGACACGGCTGTTGACGCCTTGACAAATCCATCAGTATCAGAAATATGCACGTAAGTATTTGTAAAGTTGATAGACAACTCTCATAATTTAAGATTTGACATACACTTTTTATAATGCAAATATCCGAGTCACATTTTATCATAGAGACTTAAGGAAACAGTACACTGTTAGCTTCGTTATTAGTTTTCATACTTGTTAACATTACATTTTAATCAAAACACCTGATGTCTCATTGAATCTTACGTACGGTCTTCCTTGCACTTTTTAACGACAATCGCTGGCCATGTTTCAATGCAAGAGTAGGACCTTAAAGAGTAAATTTGAAAATGAATTTAAGGGGCTTATGTTCAATATGTAATAATGTAAGCAAATACACACACTATTTTGCTGAAATAACGATACTAGTATATCACGAATGCGTATTGAGTTATAACAAATTGTAGGTTCGTAAATGGTATTTTTCTTTGTGTAGGGTACGAGAACTACTTTCATGAAATCGTTTGCATCGGTAACCTCCTCATTAAAAATAATTCAACTTTATATCTGAATGGCATGAACTCTACATCGTATCGATTTATTCAGGGAATAGACATATACACATACAATGTCATCACATATATCAACTTGCATATACTAGTATATAAAAACACACACATAAATGCAACAAAAATAATTATAAGATTAATTAACGAGTATGTTCTATGTAACCATTAAGCTAAAAGCTTATTTCCAATGGGGTCCATTTACTGTAAAATTATTACACTAACTTACATAATAATAAATGAATTGTAAAGAAGTTAAAATAAATGACAATTTCACATTTATCAATATAATAAGACAAGTACATTGTACACAAACAAAATGAAATTACATAGCTATGCATTTAATCGTGCTTGCTGTGAGCAGCTTCGAGCATTTCGTCAGAGACATAGATATCATCTCTGATTCCGTTGTCCATAATAGTATCATTGCTTTCAGCGCTTTGATTATGTATATATATCAAGCACACTTCTTTTTAAGAATTTTGATGTTCTTTGGTGCCTGCCTTTGTGTTGGCGTTAATGTTATGTAACTTTAAAATACATTCTCTTTTTATTTACATAGGCTTGCAGACACTATGACAGAGGGTTTTATGACCGAGATAACGACCGTATGCTCCGGATCGCCCACGTCACTCGCTATTTGGGATACGTACCTTTCTAGTTTGAAGGGCGCTTGCAGCGGCCATGGAACGCCTGTTATGAACACCTTATTGTTCATTCTCTCCGTGTCTTTGACAATGTTGCTTTAATTGTAGAAGAATCATAAATAACCAGACGATTCCTATATTCTTGAACTGAATTCCAGAATTCATGGAATGTTCTACTGTTATGCGCTAAATTATAGTTCTACTGAATGTGGATTGAATCACAACACAATGTTCCGTTTTATATTTTAATGTTTCTTTCTTAGTGGAATACCACAGATAATATATAACATATGCACAGGTTATCCTGATGTTTACAAATTAATATTAAAAACAGTAACAATTATTTCTAGTGGAAAGCCACAATGTTATCACTTGGAAATCCAAAATCTAACTGTCTCTAAATTTTCTACATATATCTTTAACAATAATTCTAAAATTGATTTCGTTTTTAACTGACCATAGAATTTTAACATTTTTGTGTCTTAAATAACAAAATGACCAATCAGGTTTTCAATACAAAATAATGTAACATAGCAACATAGAATTTATAACAACAATCAATCACCTGGATATTTTATCAGTCATAAGGTTTAACAACATGATAAGTACAGACAGCTTAATTGACCTTATCACCTATATATTATAAAACTTTTTAGCACAGTTGATTGGACAAAGAAGTAAAGTCGCATTTTAATCTTCCAGTTACATAATTTTAATTTGAACATCTGTTATTGAAACATATAATATTTGTAACTTAACATATGTGAAATTTCACAAATTTTGTTTTAAAGATATGACCTTTTAGAAAATGATTATATATATAAATATTTGCGTTTAAAAGAAAATCATCATGCATATTTATTCCTTTTTTTTTTGTAAATGAATTTTATCATTTTTCGGCTGCACAACACTTCTCCCTCCTTTAAGACTATTTCACTCCTGTGAAATGAAGCATAAATTTTATATAACAAAAATAAATATCATTAAATTAGAATACTGTTTACATAAGATATTCAGTTACAGAAATATATACTTGAATATAAAGCACCGATTTGCTGAAAAGCGTAAGTACCATTCACTAAAAATAAATATCCTAATCACTGTCTTATTGTAAACAACACAGTTTTAATGACGTCTATTTCTGTTGTATTGCCCCCTCTGTCCTTGTTGTCTTCCATGATGATATTGACCTCTCCATTCATGTGGGAACACGGTTTTGCATGTACTTGAAAGATTTTGATTTTTGTTTCCTTTTTTTTGACATAGATATTTAGTTTTGTTTTTTAACTGAGCAATTTTGTTTTTTAAGTTGTGGTTTTTATTTTTAAGGTTATTTATTTTGTTGTTTTTTCTTGATTTTATTATTTTTATTTTATAAGCTTTTTGGTTGTGTCTTAGCCTTAGTTGTTTATAATTGTTATTTAGTTTTTTAAATTTTAATATAAGTTTGTTCATTATTTTTAATTTTGAAGAGTTCGCCCTAATTATTTTCTTAAGCGAGTTGTTTTTATGTAAAAATGTTTTTTTAAGTTGACTTATTTTTAATTTTTTTAGGGAAACCTTATTCTGTAGTGTTTTATTAAAATTCTTAAGTTTTTGATTTTTTAAAACAAGGGCCATATTTTCTGCTTTTAAACCGGTAATAGTTTTAGTCTTTGAATCAGTCAAAGATTTCAACTTCTGAAATTCTGCTGTTGAAACATTACTTACGGAGTTGTTTGTTTGGTTCTTCTTAAAGTAGGCATCATCTTCATTGTAAAATGGTAATGTATTTTCGGCTGTCTTGCATCTTATAAAAGTTGTCATACGTTGTTGATCGCGTTGTTTTGATTGGTTTGACTTTTCACTAACTGCTGGACGTAGACAAACTCGTGCAAAATGTCCAATTCTTTTACATTTGTTGCATCTTGCCATTTTTGCACAACACTTCTCCTGTCTGTTATTATGATAAAGTCCACATTGTCCACATGATTTTTCACTTCTGAATGGTATTCCATATGTGAAACTCATTGTTGTTCTTCTTGGGGAATTGGAATTCGTAGTCTCGCTTGCTAAATTGAGAGGTTTGGAAAGACACTGATTCCCGCCACGTGTTATGCGCTAAATTATAGTTCTACTGAATGTGGATTGAATCACAACACAATGTTCCGTTTTATATTTTAATGTTTCTTTCTTAGTGGAATACCACAGATAATATATAACATATGCACAGGTTATCCTGATGTTTACAAATTAATATTAAAAACAGTAACAATTATTTCTAGTGGAAAGCCACAATGTTATCACTTGGAAATCCAAAATCTAACTGTCTCTAAATTTTCTACATATATCTTTACAATAATTCTAAAATTGATTTCGTTTTAACTGACCAATAGAATTTTAACATTTTTGTGTCTTAAATAACAAAATGACCAATCAGGTTTCAATACAAAATAATGTAACATAGCAACATAGAATTTATAACAACAATCATCACCTGGATATTTTATCAGTCATAAGGTTTAACAACATGATAAGTACAGACAGCTTAATTGACCTTATCACCTATATATTATAAAACTTTTAGCACAGTTGATTGGACAAAGAAGTAAAGTCGCATTTTAATCTTCCAGTTACATAATTTTAAATTTGACATCTGTTATTGAAACATATAATATTTGTAACTTAACATATGTGAAATTTCACAAATTTTGTTTTAAAGATATGACCTTTTAGAAAATGATTATATATATAAATATTTGCGTTTAAAAGAAAATCATCATGCATATTTATTCCTTTTTTTTTTGTAAATGAATTTTATCATTTTTCGGCTGCACAACACTACAATGGACGTTTTGTTTCACTGTCCCTTAACCTACTAGGGCCAAAAGAAATTGGCCTTTTCCATCAGTATAGAGCTAGGCCAGCCTACATTTAAATTCAGTATGACCAGGCAATGTACTATTGGCCGAATATATTTCAAATTTCAACTTAATAATCATAAAATTAATAATGGACTGTTCCAAACATAAAAGCTGAACACGTTCATTTAAGATATTCAAAAAGAAAACTCATCGGATTAACTCCTTTAATGTTTATGAAAATACTTGATTTTCCCTCGCCGCGAGTAAAGAACCTGGCCTCGTGTTCACAAAGATTTATGAATTAGGATTAAAATCAGGATAAAAAATCAAAACTCAAATATGCGCTATGGTTTATCCTTATAGATTAAATATTCTCCATGGATTATCCTCAAAGACTAAATATGACCCATGGTTTATTATCATAGATTAAATATTCTCCATCGTTTATCCCCCTTTATTAAATATTCTCCATGGTATATATCCTCATAGATTTAATATTCTTCATGATTTACCCTCATAGAATAAATATTCTTCATGATTTACCCTCATAGATTAAATATTCTTCATGATTTACCCTCATAGATAAATTATCCTTGGTATATCCTCATACATGTATATTAAATATTCTTCATGATTTATCCTCATAAATTAAATATTCTTCACGATTTACCCTCATAAATTAAATATTCTTCATAATTTATCCTCATAAATTAAATATTCTTCATGATTTACCGTCATAAATTAAATTTTCTTCATGATTTACCCTTGTATATTAAATATTCTCGATGGTTTATCCTCATAAATTAGATATTCATTTTTAGCTAAATAAAATTGGACTTTAACAGTATGTTTGTGAAATAACAGACTGAATTTATTGTTACTTTACATTTTCTTTACACTTTATTTATGTACCATTTAATTTTAGCATTTGTGTAAGAGAACAAAACATTACCTTGTTTGCTTCTTGATACGTTGATGACAGACTTTTTTGTGGTTGTTGTTGGTTTCTTTTTGGGGTTTTTTTTCACAGTTCGTTATTACCATTTTCTTCAGAGAAAAATAACTTCATTTCTGAGGCTTGGTGTGCCATTACCCATGATACTGTCTTTGTAAATTGTTTTTGTTATAAATTAAACATTTTCAAGAAATAGTTTGAGTTTTTATTCTTTTTAGAAAATAAAATATCGAAGGCAGCCCAACACGGGGACGATGAAAATCTGTGTATCATGAATAAACCTATGGTCGGTAACCCACAGTATGTATGTACATGTAGTAGTCCATGTTTAATATGACGGTCTATCCGTCTGTGAAGGCACAAAAGCAGTTTAGTTTATACAAATTTATTTTAGTTGGATTGTGTTGGAAGCTATAAGCTTATTAAAACACTCTCGAATCCGTGGAACAACCCAGTACTAAGCAATGAATGTAAAGTTTCTAGCTCAAGGAAACAACGGCTTGCCCCTGACAGGGGTTGAACCCACGCGTCAGCAATCCATTACTAGTCCGGCGCGTTAACCACTCGGCCACGCTGCTTAGGAAGTACGGACCCCGGACATGTCACCAGTCATGTCCTTACGATGTTAATTCTGAAACACAAAGTTGTGATATTTACCACCATGCAATTTACAAGGAGTATTAGCCACAGATGTGAATTTTGAGCCAAAAGTAGATCACTGTACGGCGGCCAATGAGAATCTAAATTTACAGTAACCTGAGACAATATAAAAAAAAGTTACTACAGCCCTTTTTACTATAGCCCTGAAAAGGGCTGTTATGCCAGCGAATGGCACCGCCGTCCAAGCCGTCTTACCGTACTTGGGGCTCACGTTCACTAGTATCCTTCTTCGTTGTCTCCTCCTAATCTGTCAGGTCAATCTCCTCGGCTTTAGGCAGCCACGGTGTGTAGTATACATGTACGGAATATATAACGTGTGTATACGACGATGAATGACCGGTCCAGACAGTACATACACGTACAAAGATAATCTCCTTGCTACCTAATGCAGGCATAATATACATGATATAAGACTCTTGTAGATGTTTTATATGAACTTATGAACTAGGTATATTTTTCAAACAGAGAAAATAACCACATTACATTACTGCCTCAATATACATGTAACACGGAGCATTTGATTTTAAGCATTTAAGTATAGTAAATAAAACATGATGACTTAGGTCTTCTGTTTAAAAAGAAAAACTGATTTATTCCCGTACAAAGATTTAAAAATATACAGCTACATGTATAACTATTCACGATAAATTATTCTTATGTTTGGTCTTGACTTCAAATTTTTGGAATGGAAACAATTTATTTAAAGACCCATTATGCTAAGATATGCTATCATTTTCATTCCCTTTAGAATCATTTTATTTTTTGGTATCTTATTACAGTTCTCATTTGGCATAATACACTGTAAGATGATCTATCGTTTTCTTCCGTTGCTCTGTACACGCCTGCTAAACAGTGCCTCTTTCACATTATGGTGATCTGTTTAAATGAGAACCATCGGTACTTCCGTTGTTTTCGTACATACGTTCGTGTTAACATGCTCCTTCAATTCTTGTGACATATAGAGGATATTTGTTTGTTTGTTTGTTTGTTTGTAAGATGAAATTTTATTTCCTCGAGTGGGCTTTAAAAACAGTATTATCACGATGGCGTAGCCACGAGTGAGAATACTGTTTTTAAAGTTCATGAGATGAAATAAAATTACATCTTACACAACAAATAAACACATTTTCTTTTTATTTTATGCTTAAAAACAAGTTGAAACGAAATTTCCATATTAACGTTAATACGTTTGACTGATTTTCTTCATAATGGTGGCCTCGTTTACCAGCATCGTAAAAAAAATTGCTTTTCTACCTCCATAACCTTGATAGCTACCATGCATGAGAACAGATTTGCCCTGGCCAGAATCACGTGACCAAAAGATCTGCAATTTTTTTTTTAAAAATACATAAAAATTGTAAATATAAAATATGCTGTAAAGACGCTGCATTAGAAGGACCTAAAATTCTGGTTTCAGCCATTTCACGCACATGTATATTTATGTGTTAGGGAGATTTTGTAAAAAGCAAAGTAGAAAATGTATCTGAGAGTAGTGCATGTTTAACGTGATATCTATAGAAACGACAAGGTCTTGCCCTATAAATCTTTGTCAACTACATTTTTGTATATTATCTTGCTTTTAGTACATTAAACCCACACAAAAGACAAACAAATAGACAGACGAACAGACAGACAGACATATTTGCTCTCCTATGCATCAATATGATGACGGTACTTACCCGAAGACTAACAGCTTGATTGCTGTATATTTTTCTTTGGGATCCCCGCCGTATGACAAAAATCCTAACAATAAATAATGTATATTAATGATAATAATGACACTGATTATTTTAACAAAATATACATGTATCTATATGAATGTCACAAATCTTTTATCAGGCAAGTTTATTATTAAAAAAAAGATCTTAAACTTATTTGGATGAATACGCTTTTAAATAAAGCAATCATTTTATAAACTCATTATTATTATTATTATTATTATTATTATTATTATTATTATTATCATTATTATTATTATTATTATTATTATTATTATTATTATTATTATTATTATTATTATACAAATCTTAGAATGACCAATGAAATTCCAAGAAATCAGTGTGAAATTCTAAAACGGCCAATAAAAATCCAGCTTTTGTTCATTTCTTTCCGTTGAATTTCACCGAAAGTCAGGGTGAAAACAAACAGTCTTCGGCCGAAAAGAAAAATGGCACACATCTTTACATGTTTAAATGATGTGTATATTTTATATCTTTGTTAGAAACAATTATTTTTCAGTGTGTAAATTAAAAATAAGTATTGCTAACTCATTCAACATTTTACGATATAACATGTCCGCAGCTCCTAGCTGTACACGTGACTTTGATTTCTTTCAAGCGGGTGCTAATATATCCTAAAATAGAATTAATATTGAAACTGTGTTTTCCAAGGCTAAGGTTTCGCTCCAATAATATTATCATTCAAGCAAATAATAATTACTGAAATATTTGTTTTACTTATTTATTTCATCATCATCATTATTATTATTATTATTATTATTATTATTATTATTATTATTATTATTATTATTATTATTATTATTATTATTATTATATATTTGTTCTGTTATGTTATTATTATTATTTAATTTATTTATTTATTTATTTATTTATTTATTTATTTATTTATTTATTTATTTATTTATTTCATTTTATCTTAAATACTCTAACAAAATGTATTTGCATGTATAGAAACCGGTGACAGTTCGCATCTAACATGCATTGACCAATATTTTTGTGAAAATCCAAAACTGTTTTTGGTTAACGTCGGTGAATCTGGAATAAAATATAATAATGCAAATAAACTTCTCGAATTCTGATTGGCTTAAACACTTTGTATAGTTTACTATGCCGTATATACCGTGAAGAACCAAAGCACGCACACATAACAATTATAATGTATTTCTATATCATATAGACGGTTTACTATATACCTGTTGCAGAGTCTTTCAAATATTTGAAAGACCTGGTATTTGCATATTTTTTGCGTTTTGTTCTTTATGGCATATGTCTCGTTTAAAATCATAAATATGATGCTCAACTTAAGATTTACCAATATTGTAGGTTCCAAAAAGCATCATTTATAGAGATATTACAGAATTTAACATTTTATGTAAAAATATGTAGGTAATTAGAAATTTATTTTCTATAAAGTTTAAGTCAAATTTTACAATAAGAAAGGAATGCATATATTTTGATGATTACATAATTATAATATGCACAAATATTTGCAGTGCATATTTTACATATTCTTTGATGTTTGAAAATTGTTTTATTTGCATAATTATGTACATATATATAATTTCACTAAGTGTGGTCACCGACGGATTTTTATTATTGTAATATAAACCCGTGGTGTGGTCAACCACTTTGATCACAACATACAGGATCTTTAAAATACCATTACTTCAAAAATAAAAGTAAAAAAAAATACCCGGCAATGATGACTTTACAGTATCATTAAATTACTTTTCCTTGGAAGCGCTCGCGTAGCCGTTGAACGACTGATGTCATATTTACGTAAATTTTTTCTTCTTCTTGCGATGTGTCTTGCATGAACTTCACGTCAATAAACCATTTAGCATTATAATAAATTCGTTATTCGACAACGGGAGAACACAGCCTTGCTGACATAATTATAACCTATATTTGTATCATTCGGGTCAAATCCTCTCATATATATCTCGTCAGCATGTTATACATGTATATAACTAATGTAATAGATACCGTACGAGGAATATTTACAGAACCGTGCGTCTTGCGATTTGAAAACCGAGCGAGCGTTGCAGACTTTGAATTACTGCGGGACAATGCTTATTCCAGCTATCTGAATATCAGTCTTCAGTTAAAGAAGACTGGACATCTGTCAACGCCTGACATTTTACATTCGGTACAGTTATTATTAGTTCCAGCTTCCCGTAAGATTTAATTACTATTTTTTTTAAAAGAAAGGTCAAAAAGTACAAATTTAGTCTGATCAGTATAAAATAAACATATATAAAATATATTTTTGATATATATTCCATGTTTTAAAGTAGTCATGGTCGTGTTGTCTTGCGGTAATTAGATAATGCAACATCAGACCGAAAATATTTAGTGTTGTTGAAGCTTAATAGCGGTTCCCACAAATTGTACTTTGCACACACACACCGCTGGTTGCAAATTAAAAAAAATCAGAAAGTTATTCATTTGCATTTTCAGAAATTGAGCTTTCGGTTTAAAGCAAACCAGTGCATAAGGTACAGTATTTATTTATGATCAAATGATGTTTAAATCTGCATGATATTATGTAATGACATTGTTTTGTTGAAATGAAATGTTAATAATTTGAGGCGTACATAAACCGGTTCATACCAAATGTTCATTGAAAAAGAAAGTGACTTCCGGGTGTTAATTAGCAGTAATTATAATTACTGCAGAATTACATTATTTGTATACTTAATGAAAATTAGTACTTCTTTTATTCCATTCTTTCAAATTTACGAGTCTATTTTTTTCTAAAGGCTAAATTTCTTTTATCTTTAGTAGAGTAACAAACAGACAAAACTAAAGTTTCAATCATTGAAAGATCTTTTACAAATTAAAAAAAATCAGAAAGTTATTCATTTGCATTTTCAGAAATTGAGCTTTCGGTTTCTGTTTAAAGCTAACCAGTGCATAAGGTACAGTATTTATTTATGATCATATGATGTTTAAATCTGCATGATATTATGTAATGTCATTGTTTTGTTTAAATGAAATGTTAATAATTTGAGGCGTACTGCACATAAACCGGTTCATACCAATTGTTCCATGAAAAAATGAAAGTGACTTCCAGGTGTTAATTAGCCGTAATTATAATTACTGCGTAATAACATTATTTGTATACTTTATGAAATTTAGTACTTCTTTTACTCCATTCTTTCAAATTTTGAAGTCTATTTTTTCACCTTTGTTGCAGAAAAAGGCTAAACATCTTCTATCTTTATAGTAACAAAACTATAGTTTCAATCATTGAAAGATCTATGCAACATTGACTGTTTGAAAACGTAAGCAGTCAAGTCTAACTCGTCGTAGATTAGGAGGGGATATGATTCAGACATTCTAAATTGCTAAAGGCTTTGATGATTTTACTTTTGTTAGTTATTCGGCATCAAGAAGATGTCATGATTTAAAACTAGAAATGCCTTGTAGTAGAACAACTCATTGCTTGAATCAGTTTAATAATGCAAATTTTTTAAGGCCTTCCAAATCTTTCAATCTTTCATACAACACTTGCTCTGTGATTGCATGTGATAATTCGTTTTAAATCAAGAGAATACATAACATGTAATTAAAACATGGAATAAGTTGCCCAAAAATGTAGTAGACTCAAAAAGTGTTCATGAATTTAAAATCAAGCTAGATCCACACTGGACAGGAGAAGTTCCATATAAAGTTTAGAATGTTTGTAACATTTTGCTGTAATGATTATACAACAGTGTAAACTGGAAGTGTAAGTGAATATTATTAATATAAAAGTGATGACACCAATATGAAGTAGTATTTAAAGTTTGTCAAAAGGAGAGGGGCTTTAAAAGGGTTTAGCCCTGCCATATCAGAGCCCTGGAATCATTGTACAGGTATTCTACAGGTACTCATTCATTTGTATGTATCGGATATGGTGCAGGAGGACACCCAACAGCAAGAAACTTTATTCTTTCATTAGAGTAAGAAGTGTGACAGACTGACAGTGCTGGGATTGCTCCTTTCCTCTCTGACGGGAACCTAAAAAAGCTTCCATTCTGAACCAACAATTTTTGTCAGCGTTCACCACAGTGGATACATCTGACATCCCGTCCCTAGGCTCTAGTACCATTCCATCAGCACCTGACATTAAAGTCACCGAGAAGGGTGTGCCGAAGCCCATGCACCAGCACAAGTTTACCAAGATTTTCCAGGCATCCATATTAATGTTTCAAAACTTTGGTCAGATCCCAGGTAGAATATATATCCACGGTCTGGTACCCTCTCACCAAGAATACCATTGACAAAATATTGTTTTTTGCATTCATCGTCTGTCTGTCCATACAAACATATAGATAGTTTTGTTGATTTGTAATTATTACAATAATTATGATATTTTTTTATATAACTTAATACAAGTGATTTTTTGTTATAGGGGAAAAGTGTGCTACAATAAAGCATGATGAGAGAACTGTATCTGCTGTTTGCAGTGCTTCTTGCAAATGGTTTTGTCATAAAAGGTATGATTGTATACCTTATATTCACTATTAAACATCCCCAGTTATTTACCATTTTAAATTTTAAATAATGAATCAATCATCCATGGTTATTTTTTTAGGGGAAGGACATTTTTTAGAGGATGTATGGCAATTTTATTAAATTTTAATTGCTCACTAGGTTTTAGACAGCCCCTGATATTATCTTAGTTTCATCTTTTTTATGAGCTTTGACAGGGATAATTCTTGCACACTAAGATCTTATCATATTTCTTGGAATAGTTTCATTTTTTTTCATTCTGATATTTGGTTGCTTTGCCATGTTGCCATTGAAAGAAAAAACATTTTAAAGTCTAAAATAATATATTATCAAAATAGTATAATTTTAGCAAGAAGTCCTGTCACAGTATTATAATTTCTGCAGTCAAATGAATAAATTTTTAGCAAAGTAAAGAGTGAACAATAATTTTTTTTGTCATCTCTGGACCTCTTCAACAAACTGCTCTTAACCTTTCAATTGTTAAAAAGTAACCTTGGATATCAACACAAGTTCATTTTTTCAACAACCAAAGTACAGATATATGAAACTTCATTGTCCAGTTGTTGAGATAAGATTTACATGGTTATCATTTTTTTTTAATGAAAATTCTTTGTCATGCATTTTAATCAGCAGCAGTCTTTCTTATTATAACCACAACTTAAAATTCTTTTACATTGCCAATTCATTTGTATTGAACTTGCTTAAAGGAACTAATGTTAAAAAATTTGAAAGCATAACGTATAAATTTGTAACATGTACAGGTCATCATGGGCACATAACAAACTATTTATTCTTAAATTCTTAAAATGTAAAAAAAGATTATAAAGAAATATTTAAATTTTTATTTTGGGTTATTTTTAGCCTAATTGAATTAAACAGACTTTAAACACTTCTTAGTTTTAGGTTGTTCTTCACAATCAAACAAAAAATTTCTGGAAAATCAGAGTGTGCAAATTTATGGTAATTTGGCAGGTAACATCTTGGTCCAGAGAACGACATCAAAATTTTTAATGTTACATAAAACTGGAAAAAATATTTCCAGTCTTGTTTATAATGTAACAAAAAAACTCTATTTAAAGATCCTGTATGTTGTAATTAAGGATGTGACAACACTTAAGTGAAAGTTTATTTTTGTTTATAATTATAATTATTCTTCTAAAACAATTTCCAAACATCCAAGAATAATTGTTAAATATGTACTGCAAATGTTTACATGCATTATAAGTAATCATTATACGCCCGTTTGAAAAACGGGACGTATTATGGGAACGCCCCTGGCGGGCGGGCGGGCGGCGTCCAATTTTGTCCGGAGCATACCTCCTACATGTATGGAGGGATTTTAATGAAACTTCATAGAAATGTTCACCACTATGAGGAGCAGTGTCACGCACATGAACCAGGTCTCTAGGTCAAAGGTCAAGGTCACACTTAGAGCTCATTGAAAAATGCTTGTCCGGAGCAAAACTTCCACATGTATAGAGGGATTTCAATATTACTTGGCACAAATGTTCACCATTGTGAGGCGGAGTGTCGCGCGCAAGATTCAGGTCCTTGCGGCCAAGGTCAAGGTCACACATAGAGGTCAAATTTCAGATAAAAATATGAAGATGTGTATATGGACCATTTAGTCATCATTTATTGAGGATTGTAACACAAATGGTCATTATCAAGACTATGGCTGTGATACATATAATTTAGGTCAATATATACAAGGTCAAGGTCACTAAAGATGATGAAATATCCAGATTTTGTCCGTAGCATATCTCCTACACGCATGGAGGGATTTTAATGAAATTTCATAGAAATGTTCACCATTATGAGAAGCCATGTCACGCACATGAACTAGGTCTCTAGGTCAAAGGTCAAGGTCACACTTAAAGCTCATTGAAAAACGCTTGTCCGGAGCAAAACTTCCACATGCATAGAGGGATTTCAATATAACTTGGCACAAATGTTCACCATTGTGAGGCTGAGTGTCGCACGCAAAATTCAGATCCCCGCGACCAAAGTCAAGGTTACACATGGAGGTCAAAGTTTAGATAAAAATATGAAGATGTGTATAGGGACGATTTAGTCATCATTTATTGATGGATTGTAGCACAAATGGTAACTATCATGACTACAGGTGTGACACATTTAATTTAGGTTAATATTTGCAAGGTCAAGGTCACTGGAGATGATTAAATATCCAGATGTTGTCTGGAGCATATTTTCTACATGCATGGAGGAATTTTAATGTTACTTTATAGAATTGTTCACCACCATGGGACGTAGTGCCCTGCACATGAACCAAGTCTCTAGGTCAAAGGTGAAGGTCACAGTTAGAGCTCATAGAAAAATGCTTGTCTGGAGCAAAACTTCTACATGCATAGAGGGATTTCAATATAATTTGGCACAAATGTTCATCATTGTGAGGCTGAGTGCCGTGCATAAAATTCAGGTCCCTGCGACCAATGTCAAGGTCTCACATCCTGTGCATATCTTCCCTACTGATTTGTTTTAAGGTTCATTTAACAACACAGTGCCAAGAATAAAAACTTGGTTGCTAGATAACACTTATCCATAATGCCCCAATCTCCATCTAAAGCTTTTTCGTAAACGGGCGTATTTTGTGACTATGGCACCCTTGTTCACATATATGCATTCATTTCTTATTGAAAAATTTAGCTTAGATTTATCAAAAATAAAATTCTAATTACCTCCCTTTATTTATATGAAATGTAAATTTGGTAATTTCTTTACAAATGATGCTATTTGGAACTTACAATATTGATAAATCTTCATTTGAAATTGATAAATCTTCATTTGAGCATCATAATTATGATATAAAACCATAAAAAGTTTCACACAGGATCTTTAAGCTATATCAAGTCATTGACAGTCAAGAAGTACCTATGCTTTTCTAGGTGATGATTTGTTTGATGATGGACCTTGTGGGAATACAATGTTTAAGAATGAATCAGGAAAAATTGTCGGACAGGACCCAGGCAAGGGAAAGACATGCTCCTACTACATTGTTGCAGCCAATTATACATCACAGGTATGTTCTTTTATAATTGTTGGCAGACTCATTCTGACCTGTCCTTAATTGCCAGCTTGCATGTTTGTGCAGTTTAAACAGTGTTTGCTCATTCTGACCTATCCTTAGGCAAGCTTGCATATTTGTGCAGTTCAAATAGTGCTTGCTCATTCTGGCCTGTCCTTAGACCAGCTTGCATGTTTGTGCACTTCAAACAGTGCTTGCTCATTCTGGCCTGTCCTTAGGCCAGTTTGAATGTTTGTGCTGTTCAAACAATGCTTGCACATTCTGACCTGTCCTTAGGCCAGTTTGCATATTTTTACAGTTCAAACAGTGCTTGCTCATTCTGACCTGTCCTTAGGCCAGCTTGCATATTTGTGCAGTTCAAACTGTGCTTGCTCATTCTGACCTGTCCTTAGGCCAGCTTGCATATTTGTGCAGTTCAAACTGTGCTTGCTCATTCTGACCTATCCTTAGGCCAGCTTGCATATTTGTGCAGTTCAAACAGTGCTTGCACATTCTGGCCTGTCCTTAGGCCAACTTGCATATTTTTGCAGTTCAACCAGTGCTTGCATGTTTGTACAGTTCAAACAGTGCTTGCTCATTCTGACCTGTCCTTAGGCCAGCTTGCATATTTGTACAGTTCAAACTGTGCTTGCTCATTCTGACCTGTCCTCAGGCCAGCTTGCATATTTTTGCAGTTCAACCAGTGCTTGCATGTTTGTACAGTTCAAACAGTGCTTGCTCATTCTGACCTATCCTTAGGCCAGCTTGCATATTTGTACAGTTCAAACTGTGCTTGCTCATTCTGACCTGTCCTTAGGCCAGCTTGCATATTTTTGCAGTTCAAACTGTGCTTGCTCATTCTGACCTGTCCTTAGGCCAGCTTGCATATTTGTACAGTTCAAACTGTGCTTGCTCATTCTGACCTGTCCTCAGGCCAGCTTGCATATTTTTGCAGTTCAACCAGTACTTGCATGTTTGTACAGTTCAATTTGTGCTTGCTCATTCTGACCTGTCCTTATGCCAGCTTGCATATTTGTGCAGTTCAAACTGTGCTTGCTCATTCTGACCTATCCTCAGGCCAGCTTGCATATTTGTGCAGTTCAAACAGTGCTTGCGCATTCTAGCCTGTCCTTTGGCCAGGTTGCATGTTTGTGCAGTTCAAACAATCTCTTTGCTAGCCAGCATAATTGTGCAGTCTAACCCGCCACTAGGCTAACCAGATAATTGTTCAGCCTTACCATACCCTAGACCAGAAATCTTTTGCTTTTTTTTAAGTTTATACAAATCAATTGTCAAAATAATAGCTACAGTTATGCAGAACAACAATTTATTTTATACAACTAGCTATTTCACAAAGTTAATCAACCTCCAAACATTTAAAGGGATTAAACACCAGTTTGGTTTATCAAGGAGTTTGCTGTCCTTGATAAAGAGGTGTTTAATCTATCAAAGTGTTAGAGATTGATAAATTTTGTGAAATAGATAGTTATTTATTAATTATTTCCAGAATGGTTTTTAAGATTTTTATGCCCCCACAATGTGGGAGCATATAGCGTTGCACTTGTCCGTCCGTCCGTCCGTCCGTACGTCTGTCCGTACGCCCCGAAATCTTGTGAACGCAACTCCTTTTAAACAGGATGGCAGATTTTGCTTAAACTTACAGGGATGAACAACCTTAATATGTAGATGGTAGTAAAGGAAGGAATTTTTGCTGCGACCAAATTCAACAGAATTATGGCCCTTTGTTGATTTTTTCACTATATACTATGTAGAAATTTTGTGAACGCAACTCCTCTTAAACCGGATGGCAGATTTTGCTTAAACTTCAAGGGATGAACAACCTTAATGTGTAGATGGCAGTAAAGGAAGGAATTTTCGCTGCGACCAAATTTAACAGAATTATGGCCCTTTGTTGATTTTTTCACTATATACTATGTAGAAATTTTGTGAATGCAACTCCTCTTAAACCGGATGGCAGATTTTGCTTAAACTTACAGGGATGAACAACCTTAATGTGTAGATGGTAGTAAAGGAAGGAATTTTTGCTGCGACCAAATTTAACAGAATTATGGCCCTTTGTTGATTTTTAGTTTTCAACTTGTGGCATATGTAGTCCAAAAAATATTTGACCTAGAGTCATGAGATTGACAGAACAGTGGCGTGTGGGGGCATCAGTGTCCTATGGACACATTTCTAGTTTTGGATGTTTTGAATTCCTGTATTTACCTGAGTGTATTCTTTAGGAAAGAAATGTGAATTTCTAAAAGATAAAAAAATGCTTTTGAGATATCATTTGAATTTAGAAACATACTTATATAAAGTGGAAACTATAATTAGCCAAGCTATTTTAATTACTACTCAGTATTGTTTGGTTCTCATTTTCAACTATTCCATTTCTTTAAGAGGTAATTGTGAGAAATTCAATTGAAAGTAACTACAAATATCTGTGTGTTTTTTACAGGTAGCAATAAGTTTCAGCAATTTGACAATAAATCCACTACTGTATAACTTGTCAGTGTATGGGGTGAACACAACAGGGGAGACAAATGTGTCAAGCGTTCTGATTGCCAATCTTACACAAGGTAAGTCACTGGCATTTTTTTTTTGCAATTTTTTTTTCCCATATTAAAAAACCAATTTCTATAATGGTTTACATTGTTTACATGTTATTATATTTAGTGCTCTGAATATCATTTTGTTTTTTATTTATTAAAAACATTTTTTTTTCCTGAAAACTATTAACCTTAATTTAAAAATAATTTAAATTGATGTGAGACTTATATTTTTTAAATTTTATTTAATTTAATAATTTTATAATCTCTTTCCACAATATCCAAATGATACATTTCTGTTGTTATCCCCCGCAGATGGAATCGGGAGGGGGATACAGGGTTGTCATTAAGAGGCGGCAGGAGGCCAAAATGCCTGTCTCAAATGCATTATGGGCCGCCTCAAAATTAAGAAAACACTCTTTGTTATGCATGATAAAGACAGAAATGACCGCCTCAAGTTCAAAACAAACCTACTGCAAAAAATGTTAATGACAACCCTGGGATATAGTTTTGGCGTTGTCCGTCCTTCTGTCCGTCCATCCGCCGTCCGAATTTCGTTTCCGGAGTAGTTCTCTGCAACTGCTGGCTGGAATTGAACAAAACTTTATGGGAATCATCAATATCAAGAGGAGATGCTCATTTCGTCGGCTTGTTCCGGTCTGACACTTTAACTCAGAGTTATGGCCCTTGATTTGTTATGCAGTATGCATATAGAGTAAAAATCGTTTCCGCGCTACTTCTCTGCAACTACATGTACTGGCTGGAATTCAACCAAACTTTATGGGAACCTTTAATACCAAGAGGAGATGCGCATATCCTGGCCTTGTTAGAGTCAGACTTTTTAACTCAGAGTTATGGCCCTTGATTAATTATGTAGTATGCATATAGAGCAAAAATCATTTCCGCCCTACTACTCTGCAACTACTGGCTGGAATTCAACAAAACTTTATGGGAACCTTCAATACCAAGAGAAGATGAGCATATCATTGCCTTGTTGGGGTCAGACATTTTAACTCAGAGTAATGGCCCTTGATTAGTTATGCAGTATGCATATAGAAAAATATTTGTTTCTGCGCTACTTCTCTGCAACTGCTGGCTGGAATTCAATGAAAATTTATTGGAACCTTCAATACCAAGAGGAGATGCGCATATCGTTGCCTTGTTCGGGTCAGACATTTTAACTTTGAGTTATGGCCCTTGATAACTTATACAGTATACAACCAGAGCAATAATCATTTCAGTGCTGCTTCTCTGTAACTACTGGCTGGAATTCAATGAAACTTTATGGGATACGAAGAGATGTGCATATAGTCTCCTTTTTCTGGTCAGACACATATCCTGGTTGTACTATCTACCGGGAGTGTAAGCCTTATTAGGCCCACCATCATATAATACAGAAAAAATCTAGGATAAGATAGTTATTTTCTGTAGAAGGTACCATTTTTGGATGAAAATAACAATCATCCAAAAGAAATTTTAACTAAACATCAAAAAGATAGTTCTGTTAATAACCTCATATGAGTGGCAGCCATCTTTGTTTTTAAGTACTTAATACCAGGAATGACTTTTAAGCAATCAATAAAAAGTTAAAAACATATGTAAATGGTCCATTACTATTAATGATACTAAAGTTCTATTCAATATTTATCAATTACCACACAGTAAAAGGGTAACAATTTGATAAGCATTGCACACACATTCAAAATATCATGTTGGGTCTAAATCGTTACCAATATTACTGTTTTTTATACTAAAAACACATTTATGTGAATAGGGTTATTAAAACTTTGAATTTTCTTCAAAAAATGCTATATTGTGTATGAAATTTATGTGAAAAACACTTGCATACAAAAGAATTTTTTTATTTAAGTATTGTTTGTAATATCTGGACATTCCCGGTACAAAGTACCTCCCGGTATAAAGTACCTTGAGGATATAACTCAGATTTATGGCCCTTTATTAGTTATGCAGTATGCATACATCTCATTGGCATTTTCAGATATTACTATTTAACACAGAGTTATGGCTCTGTTATTGCCCTGAATATTTATCAAGTTCAAAGAATATTACTGTTTATGCCATGATAAATATATAAATAAAGCCTTATGTCTTCAGTTGTTGTGTTAGTAATAACCAGTACTCGACGGGGGATATAAATTCAACGAATTTGCTTGTTTATATTTATTTTTGAATTTCATATGGAAAAGGTGCCAATTATAGGCAAATCCACTTTAACATTGTTGTAACAAGCATAAATGTATTGGTCACAATATCAAGCAACATTGAAGTGATATACGAAAATTTAACTAAATCAGTAAACAGGAAGTGCATCAATGACAGACCTGAAATCAAATCCCATGGTATGGGACCACATGTCAATGCTGTATGCCAAATATCAAGAGGCTGTGATAAGTAGTTGCTGAGAAAACTGTAACAAAATGTTTTGCCCTGCCCGCTTGCTGCCGAACATTCACCATACTATAACCAGGGTTTGCACCTGTGCAACCGGGCCAAAAAAGGCATTTGTGATAATGTATAAATTTAGGAAACAGTATTATTTTAGGTATTAATTATTTAATTTTATCTTGTTTAACAGTATCCCAGGGACAGGCATTTTTGACAGTGATTTCAGGATATAATGTTACGAAGATAGTTTACTCACGAGCCAACTTGGACACACCGTCTGATGCAGGGTTTACTGCAGCTTATGATACTACTGGTTTGTTATTACTTGTTTTGTACTGGTAATTTTAGTTAGGCGGCAAGCAAGTTTATTATTATTATTTTTTTTTGTAAGATGTTTGCTGAATAAGATTGCCGAATTGAATTTATTTTTCTGCCATCAACTTTGATTTGAGTCGACTTACTAGCTTTAAATTATCTACATATTCGGTGTATTGAAAGATCATTGTGACAATTCATATGACCCGTTATATTTTTTAAGAAACAATTAAGTAAAAAATAATGTTCAATTTTTCTCACAAATTGAAGCATGTTTTTTCTGGCTGCTGTTGGGATATATTTTTTTTGAAATTGGGGAAAAAGAGGCTATATTAAAAACTCTATAACAAGTAGAGAAACTGATAGCAAACAGCATGGATCCTGATCAGAATGTGTGGATGCGCAGGCTGGTCTGGATCCATGCTGGTCGCAAACCCATTATGTTGGTTTTTGTTATGACGCAGCTCAAATATGTAATTATTTGTGTATTATTTGCAGCCTGCATGTTAGAGAGACAGGATGCAGGAGGCATTATTCAGAGTCCACTTTACCTACCTGGAAATGGAACTGTGACTTGTACCTATAAACAAACTTTGTATCAGCCAATGGGTGTGGTTTCATTTACCAGCTTCAACTTATCCAGTGGGAAGGTCACTGTACAGTTTGGATCTGGGAATCCCGTAAACGTCTCAGGTATACTTAATATTATTTATTCTTAATATTCCTTCATTTCTGTTTTCTATTGTCATTAATATGTTTTCTGTTGTCATCATTCTGTTATTTGTTGTAATTATTCTGTTATGTTTTGTCAATATTCTGTTATCAGTTGTCATTATTCTGTTATCGTTTGTCAATATTCTGTTATCAGTTGTCATTATTCTGTTATGTTTTGTCATTATTCTGTTATGTTTTGTCAATATTCTGTTATCAGTTGTCATTATTCTGTTATTGTTTGTCAATATTCTGTTATTGTTTGTCAATATTCTGTTATTTGTTGTCATTATTCTGTTATCGTTTTGTCAATATTCTGTTATTTGTTGTAATTATTCTGTTATCTTTTGTCAATGTTCTGTTGTCAGTTGTCATTATTCTGTTATCAGTTGTCATTATTCTGTTATGTTTTGTCAATATTCTGTTATCAGTTGTCATTATTCTGTTATCAGTTGTCATTATTCTGTTGTCAGTTGTCATTATTCTGTTATCAGTTGTCATTATTCTGTTGTCAGTTGTCATTATTCTGTTATCGTTTGTCAATATCCTGTTGTCAGGTTATTATTATCCTGTTATCTGCTGTTATCATTCTAGTATATTTTGTCCTCATTCTGTTATCAGTTATCTGTATTCTGTTATTATCATGATTATTGTGTTAAAAGTTTAAAAGTTGTCATTATTTTTTATCTGTTGTCATCATTCTTTTATCTTTTGTCATTATTTTTTATCTGCTGTCGAAATTCTGTTATCTGTTGTCATAATTATGTTATCAGTTATATTTATTATGTTGTCAGTTGTTATTATTCTGTTATCAGTTGTCATTATTCTGTGATCATTTGTCATTATTCTATTATCAGTTGTCATTATTGTGTTGTCAGTTGTCATTATTAGTTATCAGTAGTCATCATTCTGTTATCAGTAGTCATCATTGTGTTATCAGAAGTCATCATTCTGTTATCAATTTTCATTATTCTGTTATCAGTAGTCATCATTCTGTTATCAGAAGTCATCATTCTGTTATCAATTTTCATTATTCTGTTATCAGTAGTCATCATTCTGTTATCAGAAGTCATCATTCTGTTATCAATTTTCATTATTCTATTATCAGAAGTCATCATTCTGTTATCAATTTTCATTATTCTGTTATTAGTAGTCATCATTCTGTTATCAGTAGTCATCATTCTGTTATCAGTAGTCATCATTCTGTTATCAATTTTCATCATTTATCAGTTATCCTAATCCTGTTTGGTAAAAATTAAAAGAAAATAAAGACTCAAATGAATTGACTAGCTTTTATTCTGCACTTAAAACTTCACAGATTAACATTTGAAGTGTGGCCCACTGTAGAGCAATAAACTCGAAACTAAAACAGGATCAATTTTTTTTCTTCAAAGAAAGATTTCCCAACAAATTAAACCTCTCTAGAGCTACCACCTCTCGGCAAAAACTAAAATCTTTGTCTCTTAAAGGGTTTTGCTGACAAAAGGTTGAACTTGTAATATACATGAGTAATGTCAGTCTATTATAGGTACTTAAAGCTGTACATTATTTGATATTTGCCCTAAAAATGATGAATGGTTTTTGTCCGAGATTGAGAGATGGGACAAGTTGGCTGAAAGTATTTAGCATGGTAAGGGTTAAAATGAGGGTTTAAGGTAAGTTCAGTCCAAACAATGCCCCCCTTATAGTGTCCAGTGGTGCCCCCGCAGAGCAAAAGTTGAAGAATGAAATTATGACAAAGTCTGCCAAATACCAACAGTCTTGTATAGGTTTATACCATTTGATTTCACCTCTAACCATGCTGTAATTATGTAACAGCCTTGTTTTGAATTTTGAATAGTGCATTTTAGAATAATGGGTTTTTATATATAATAACCCTTAACATGCTGAATATTTTAAATGGACTTCCATTTTTGGTCCATAAGCAAATTTTTGGATTTTAGTTTGATAATTTAAAGATTGTCAGCCAACAGTATAGAGCCTGGTCAGACTGCACGGATGGCCGGGCTCTAGGCAAGTGGTAGAGCCAAAGACTTATCTCTTTCGGTTCCAAACATTTAAAGTTTGAAAAGAAAAATGAGTTCCAGTAAAGCCAGACTTTGTCAAACAATAAAACATGATAAAACACAAACTCAAAATAAAATAAAAAGAAAATAAAAATCTTTAAAACAAAAGTATGATTTTAAATGTAAACAATCTGATTCAGATTAGAAAAAGAACAACAACAGCTTAAAACATCATTCAAAATAAGAAGTAAATAAATACTGTTAAGGCATACTGGCATGCGAGCAGTTCCCGTACAGAAGCAGTACCCGTATTTTTCATTTAAACGCTTGATTTTTACATGCATTCTTCAAAAATTCATTTCAAATCAAGCAGATACATAAACGAGACAAAATCTAAGTTTCAGTTCGGCAGTACATATAAAAGGTCTCATTTTAAATCAGTTTCACCTGTGCGTTGTCAAAACGTGACCTTGTTTTATCTGGGGGATTCCGTCCTTGCGCATGCGCGCAAACATACTTACACGTGAGGCATGTAAAAGGTTTTCCAGTTATGCCACCTGTTTACAGATAAGAAGGCAATGTGATGAAAACTTGTTTAATTATCAGAATTTTGACCAATATTACTATATAAAATAATTTTATGGCTTTGATGCGTAAAATATCATGCATACAAGCATGCCATCGCATGTATATGCGTTGGCGGTAACGGTACCGGGTAATAGATACACGCGTTTAGTCTACTTTCTATTTCCTGAATAACATCTATTTATCTCTTAGAAAATGGTCTGTTCAACAATTATAAATGAAAAATAGGTCCGATATTATAAAATTGTATAATTATAATGAGTTAAATTTTATGTACGGGAACTACTTCTCTTCATACAAAATAATGGATAATTTCGGTACCCCATATGAGGCCTCATAACTAAGGGTTATTCTATGTTTAGAACATGATGGAATTTCCATGATTTGTGTGACGAGCCCAATATTGATGTGTAACGTTCAAATTTTGGTGAGTGAGCGTAATAAAAAATAATGTTTAAGTAACTACGATATTTGTACGGAAACTGCTCGCATGCAAGTATGTGTGATAGAAAGATATGAGCCGCGTCATGACAAAACCAACATAATGGGTTTGCAACCAGCATGGATCCAGACCAGCCTGCGCATTCGCGCAGTCTGATCAGGATCCATACTGCTCGCTTACAAACCCTATAACAAGTAGAGAAACTGATAGCGAACAGCATGGATCCTGATCAGACTGCGCGCATGCTGGTCGCAAAGCCATTATGTTGGTTTTGTCATTACGTGGCTCATATATATTAATCAATTAAAAACATATAATGCAAAATGTCAAGTTTGACGACCTTTGCTTATGTTGAGTAGTTAAACAGCAAACTTGAAAATGCATTATCACATAAGTTTTTAATTAAATAAAACAACAAATTAAAAAAAAACAACACATAAATATACCCTGAAATTAGTCTTAAATATAAATTTATATCATGATATTGGTTCCAAGTTTGAGCCTTGATGTCTTCACTGGTTTTAGTCGAAAGATCCATTTGCTAACATTGTTTATGAAAACTTGTTTATGCGTGACTGAACTTATGTATAAGTCATGCATGACTGTCAATTTAAAGGCATGTTTTACCTCATAAAAGAATTCCTTCTTTTCCACTGACTTTAAGAAAAGGCAAATCATGAGTTATATAACATTTAAAAAAAATGGGTTTTAAACATGTTAAAGTATGTTAAATGCTTATGACATGAGCTATATCAGTGCTGAAAGTGAAATTATTTGCCATTACAAAGAAGCGAAATGTAAACAAAGTATTTTTTGACTTCCTTACAAACAACTAATTTGCTTTATAGTACTGATTGATTCCAGGAATTGATTCCAGAGCATTTCAATAAGCTAATAGCTTCCAACACAATCAAAATAAAAAAAATTAGTATTAACTAACTACTGCCCAGTAAGTAACTTTTTTTTCAGAAACTTAAACAGGAGACCAAAAATAGAAATCTTCTCAGAAGTAAAAATGATAGCATTCTGAGGCTTAATTGGCCTATAAGAATTATAATATTTGAAGATTTGTTTCTATGGGATGTTCCAAGTAAATATTTCTATTTCTTTAACCACATTTACTGTTACAATTCAATCTCTCATAAAATAAGTTTAAAATATCACAAAGCTCATTAGTTACGTAAATATCACAAAAATTTAGTAAATATCACAAAAATTTAGTAAATATCACAAAAATTTAGTAGATATCACAAAAATTTAGTAGATATCTCATAAATAAAGTAAATACCTCTTAATTAAATAAAGTAATTTTCTAATAAACAAAGAAAATATGTCATAAACATATCACATGTATACAAAAATATCTCATATTAACTAAATGAAAAATATCTTTTCAACCAACAAGAGTAAAACAATCTTACTCTAGTGTTTGTTAAACTCGTATATAATCAAATATTTAAAAGTACACTGTAATTAGTGCCAGTGTTGTTGTACATTATTAATGAGATGCAAATACTGTCATATCCTATAATACTGTCTTAGACTTGCCATAAAGATGATTCATTGAAGCATAACTTTTCGAGAATTTCTGTCCAAGTTTTTCAGGCTCTGACAATATAAGTTTAATTTGTGCTCTTTTTGATTCGAATCTATCCTGACTTTGGTTTGACACTTTCATTTCTACCCTTTTTGATTTGAAGAATAACTTCTTGTACCGCATCTACAAGTGTGTATTGTTGTTCCGTTCCATACAAAGCATGCAATAGAGCAGATAATTTATTAGAGATATTGTTCTTTGTAGTACCGAGCAATGTTGATGTCTTGATATTATTTATAAACTACCTACATGTAACTGTCGGCTATCACACCAATATCAAGCGAGCCTGGGTTTTGACTGGGTCCATCCTGCGTTGGTTGAACTCTTCGTATTGGAAACATAACATGTTGGGCTGGGATAGTTGGTTTCGCAGGAGTTGCAGGCGGACCTGGTTTACCGATATGGGTATCAATGAGGCCACTCTCAGAGTGATATCTCCGTCGCTCGCCCACAAACTGTGCATCAGCATGTTGAGTCATTGGACCAGGTACGGTTAAATGTTCCTGGTCGAGGTAAAAACGACGAGGCTCGATATTCTGTTCGTCAAATGATGTGTGTATATCCCCTTCCGGTTCAACACGTTTCTTTTTAGATTTCTGTCTCTGTTTCACATTTTTAGCGTTGGTCTCTTGAGCACTATCTGAGTGGCCGTCGCCGTAATCTTTCGGGGAATGTTTCATATCCGGAGATTTCTCACGTTTAGATTTTCTGCGTTTAATTGCCGGACTATTTTTTACATCATCTCTGTTTTCCCGATCTGAAGCTGGTGTGATTTGAAAAGAAGTGCTTGGACGGTTGAAATCATGGTAAGAGTAAGGACTTTTTGGAGACTTTAAATAAGCATCGTTGTTTCTTGGAGTCATAAAATGTTGTGTGGGAATTGTGACATTAAAGCTGGGACGATATTCTGACCGCTGTCCACCAAATGGGAGAGTCTGCAGTTTATGCTTCATCGAGTAAATGTCCTCTGCGTTAGCATATTGTGTTTGTAAAGAATGCATGTCGAGAAAGTAACGTTTTTCCTCAATAACTTGTTGCAGGTTAGTATCAAACCGTTTCACATGTTTCTCCTCGCCTACGAGCTTTGTGAACCAGCCACAGAGTATACCTTCGAAAAACATGATGACCGACAGCTGTTGTACTCGCCACTGCACCAGTCGGTTGTCTGAGACAAAAGCACATGTTTGTGACATCATAGCAATCAGTGCATTGAACATCAATACATACGTAAGTAGCACAAACACGATGAAAAGCGTGACGGCCATCCACGGTCGACGTGCATCATATAAATCGTCAATATCACCAAGGCCGAGCATCAGCTTAAATAACAGCATCATCGTGTGTCCGTAAGAGAGAAGATTGTCGTCTTTTGTGCCAGAACCTTTAAACGTCATATATATAGCTGCCGTGAAGGCTATCAGCATTAATATTATAATGATGGAAAAGCGCAGCAAGTCGCCAAATATTATCTTCTGTATCATGACGGTAAAGAAACTGAACTTTTTCCAGGCTCGCAAGAAAAATACAGAGAACCACCAGCCCGTGATTAGGGCTATGATCAGTGCATAGTTTTCGTAATTTTCCATAGTCTCCGAAAGCGAGAATTCAAGTACTAAACTGAGTGCAAAAATAGTAAGAACGATCCTGTATATACCATTGTGGAGTACATTTGTCAGTTGATATATGGAAAAAGATTTTACCCTGAAACATATATGAATCATTTGCATAAACAGGTACAAAATTCCTAGAATAAGGTATACAACTTTGAAACCTTCTAGAAACTGGTCTCTTGTCTGATTAGAGTTTGTAGAGGTTGTTGGCACGGAAACGTTGCTTTCTGTTACTATAATGTAGTCGTCAGCTTTTTCTACAGCAAACACAGTCAGTGTCACCATAAAGAGTAAATGTAGTATGGCCCATGAGTAATAAAACCATCGATAGTACAGCCATTTTGTTTTGATCACATGGCGTACTGTCGGCTGTTGAATAAAATCAAACGCAGCAGACGACTTTATGTCAAACATCGTCTCCATGATCGATTTTTGTTTTTCGCGCTTAATTTCAAATTGAGTACAACACCATAGAGAGCTTTGGTTAGCGAACTTTTTCTGAGACACGCCCTCTGCAGCAGCTGGAGCGACGTGTCTCTTAAGTCGACTTTGACGCATCTTTTGGTCATGTGCCCATCTTTCAGTAGAGACTGTATCTATTTCAGTTATATCGTAAGACTTTCTGTCAAACAAGCCATCATGGCTGCTTAGAAAACAGTAGACTTTTGGCAGTTGGAGAATAAACTGGAATATAGTTGACTGAGAGAGCGTCGCAGAGAGTTGTAAAGGATTTAAATTGTCATTGTTCGGTATAAACCAAATGTACGATTTATCGCTGTGATCAAATTCAAGATTCATATGACTAGACATCAAGTTTTCTGTGATTTTCTCGTGTAAAAACTCCATAGTCGAAATAATGTTTGGTATGTTGTCGGGATATATCGCTGCAAATCGAATCAGGGAATGGAAGACAGTGTCACCCTTGGTGTTCTTTCGTTCCATCTCGGCACCATTGAAATAAAGTGCATTCATCATGTCAGTGTTGAATGTCAGGGCCGCCACAGATAAAGGGAGTTCACCCATCATAACGGTGTTTGCAAAATTTTGACCGGTTGCCTTTGAATGTAATAGTGCATTTTTTAGACTTTGACTTAAGTTTAGGATTTCTGAGAGCATTCCATCGACTGCCTCAGTATTTCCTTTAGCTATGGCTATATGGAGAGCAGTTTGACCGTAATAATTGTCGGAATCCTTCCTAGCTGTTGTCATCAATTCCGGACAGATTTTGATTAATGTTTGTATTATTTCACTGGACTGGTTAAACATGGCCGCGAGGTGTAACATAGATTCCCCATCTTTACCTTTATATGTCATCAGTGCCTTTGTTTGTCCTTCTTTCTTCAATATTTCAAGTAAGATGCGCACCTTGTTACCCTCACCGAGACTAACTGCTCTGGCAAGTTCTTGGAAGTACTTCGGTTTTTCACTATCGACAAATAGCAGACGTCTATGATACTCTTTATATGATTTGATATTGAACGCCATTTTTCTTTCTTTTTATTCTTTACGATATTAATATTTTTTCCCAATTATTGATTCTTTGGGTTTCTTTTGTAACTAAATAATCACAATATACTATGCAATATTGATTACATTTCCAGATTGTTTTTCACTCAGTTTTATTCATAATTCTCAGCTTTCCTTTCAAATGTTAAAATTTCATGGATTCTTTGTTTAATTTGTTTGTTTTGTCCCTGCAAATCTCTCCATGTCATTATATATACATACATGTATAAGTATAGTATATGTATTGTTATATAGTGAACATAATTACAGTGACAATTCACATTATGCCTATACTATGATTAAAATCCTGTTCTTTAATTCCAGTACAAACATTGATTAAACTTCAACAAAATTTTCCTGTTCTCGGATAAGCACATTTTACTGTTTGTTTGATATTATCGATGTAAATTTTGTTCGTTCTTGTATTGATCAAAAACCTGGGTACATACATTTAATAATTTTTTCCGCAGTGTAGTACAGTTTTCTTATATGCTGGAATTGAATCATAGTTGGCCAACAAGATTTCCTGCACAGTTCATATATAATTCATGATAAGAAAAGATTAATTGTTCTAGCTCTGGATCAATGATAATGTGGCTTTATCTACCATTGTTTTTATTATTCATTCTTTTATTCAGTCAGAGAAAAGTAATAAATACATACTCCTGGAGTAATGCATTATTAAGTAGATTATTGTATTTGTTTTATTGTCTAATCTCGCAGTCATTGGATGTACTGGGGTATCTGGTGGCTTCTGCAATGTTCGGTGCCGCTTTAAGGCTCCCACTAGCTACCTCACATTGATGATTTTATATGTCCTTCTTCTGATGTCTGAAGATATAAAACAAAGACAGATCTAGATAAATTTGTTTGTAAAAAAGAACTTTGCATACTTAATGAGGGATATGAGGGGGCAATTGATTGGGGGAGCGGTGGTAGGGGGAGAGGGGGCAAATCATGGGGAGAGAGGGGGCAGGTGGTAGGGGGAAGGGGGCAAGTGATAGGGGGAAGGTGGTAGGGGGAATGGGGAAGGTGATGGAGGGAAGGGGGCAGTTGGTAGAGGGAAGGTGGCAGGAGGGAAGGGGGCAGGAAGTAGGGGGGCAGTTGGTAGGGGGAAGGGGCAGGTGGTGGGGGGGTAGGGGGGAAGGGGGCAGTAGGTAGGGATGGAAAAGGGCAGGTGGAAGGGGAAGTGGAGGCAGGTGGTGGGGGTATGTGGTAGGGGAGTGGGGCAGGTGGTAGGGGGGAGGGGGCAGGTGATGGGGGAGCAGGAGGAGTCAGAACAGCAGCCAAAATTTATCTTGAATTTAATTACTGATTGAGAATTTTAAAACCCATTTCAGTAAAAAATAATTATTTTATTTTTATCATTGAAAATGGGTCTTGACACTTATAATGTAGGAGCGTAAAAATGATGACAGTTGTTTTATCTTAAAGTATCTATAAGTGCAGTTGGCAAATGTACAATCCCATATTCAAGTTGGTACAAAAAGAATTTGTAAACCCATGCTATAAAATAATGCAAAATCATTATCAATACAATCATAAATAGATATTGTCTATTGCACATTAATTGAACTCGAGATAAATTCAACGTTGATTGATATTTAAATACAATTTGACACGGAAAAAAAAAAGAAAAAAAGATAGCTGTCGAGTATCTTGACAGCTTTGAAGACGTAGAAGTTTTACGTACATGGCCAAATGATAAGACGTGGCCAAGTATATTTAAATGAAGAAATATCATTTTTATTTGATTCAATATAACCTGCTTATTAAGATAAAAAAAAAATATGGGTCATCTGAAGGTGGGCCAATGTTTTCGTGATTTAAGGTTGTATAATTTATATTAATATAAAGATTGGTCAGTTAACCTTAACTCTGCTGCATTTGTAAAATGGACTTGCTCATTTAAGAATAAATGGAACTGTCCCATTATTTAAAAAAGAGGTTTCAGTAGGAAAATGTTGACATAAATGGTAAGCAGCTGTCAAAAATTCAAGCAGACGAAAATTTGAAGTCTGATTTCACTGCAATTTTAAACCTTAAACTTAGGTAAGGCTATAAACTGGTTAGCTGGTCAATACACTAGCAATACAATGGTTAGTCTGCAAATACACTAGCAATACTAATGTAAGCCTGCCAATACACTAGCAATACAATTGTTAGCCTGCCAATACTCTAGCAATACTTAAAGGTTAGCCTACTAATACACTAGCAATACTAAGGTTATCCTGCCAATATACTTGCAATACTACAGTTATCCTGCCAAAATACTAGCAATACAAAGGTAAGCCTGGTAATACATTAACAATACTAAGGTTAGCCTACAAATACTCTTGCAATACTAAGGTTAGTCTGCCAATACACTAGCAATACTAAGGTAGTCTTGCCAATACACTAGCAATACTAAGGTTAGCCTGCCAATACACTAGCAATACAATTGTTAGCCTGCCAATACTCTATCAATACTTAAAGGTTAGCCTGCCAATACACTAGCAATACTAAGGTTATCCTGCCAATATACTAGCAACACTAAGGTTATCCTGCCAAAATACTAGCAATACAAAGGTAAGCCTGGTAATACATTAACAATACTAAGGTTAGCCTACCAATACACTTGCAATACTAAGGTTAGTCTGCCAATACACTAGCAATACTTAGATTAGTCTGCCAATACACTAGCAATACTAAGGTAATCCTGCAAATACGCTAGCAATACTAAGGTTATCCTGCCAAAACACTAGCAATACTAAGGTAAGCCTGCCAATTCACTAGCAATACTAAGGTAAGCCTGTCAATACACTAGCAATACCAAAGGTAAGCCTGTCAATACACTAGCAATACAAAGGTATGCCTGTCAATACACTAGCAATACAAAGGTATGCCTGTTAATACACTAGCAATACTATGGTTAAAGGCAGCCAATACACTGGCAGTACTTGGATTATCGAGTCAGCATAAAATAAAATATTGTATTCATATTATTAGTCATGCTATAACAATAATTTCTTTTATGTCTGCAAATTGTTCAAATTTGTTTTGTAGCAAAAGAAAGACAAGATATTATCAAAGACGTGAAATTTAAAATTGCAATTTTATATTTACAAATTCAACTGTGTATATATACAAGGTTGGGTCCTGGCTTAAGTCCATGAACAAGGCCAGTTATAATTGTAAAACCAATAAACTCTCAACTATCTACCCAGTGTATTTATTTATAAAACAAGAAAGAAACATCAATAAAGCAGGTAGTTTTAAGATATCCAGGGTGAATTAGATAGTTACGATCTGCTATTTTTCTTTTTCTCCTTTGGATTGAAAAAATAAATGAACAATTGACATTTTCTCGTTTATATAGAATGCATAGTAATTGATTTATAAATAGATTGATGAATTCATCAGCTTTAAATGAGCCGTGTCAAAACAAAACAAACATAATGGGTTTGCGACCAGCATGGATCCAGACCAGCTTGCGCTTCCGCGCAGTCTGATCAGGATCCATGCTCTTTGCTTACCAACCCTATTACAAATAGAGAAACTGATAGCGAACAGCATGGATCCTGATCAGACTGCGCGGAGGCTGGTCTGGATCCATGCTGGTCGCAAACGCACTATGTTGGTTTTGTCATGACACGGCTCATAATTTATGTATTTACTTTTCGAACATGAGAGGCAATTATTTTAAAGGTAAACTGGTTTCATTTAGTCCAGCTTCTTTTTTTGGAACTGTCTATTACCAGTTTTGCTAGGATTAAATGGTAAATATTCAAAACGTAAAAAAAAAATGCTGATTTGCAAAGAAACCAAACTATTCTGGAATAAAATCAACAAATAACTAAACAAATACAAAAATATTCGGATAAAATAAGGATCAATTTTGTAAACTGTAAACTGCCGGTAGATCTATATTGCAAAAATAACAATAAATTTATTCTAAAATTTCATAAATTTGCTTTTGCAAGTTCAGTTTCATCAAATTAATATAAGATATTTGATATATGAAAAATATTAGTTTTTAAATTTGATCCTGATCCTTAAATCTTTGTGAACACTGGATGAGAGCTTGGTCAGACTGCACATAGGCTGCCCTGGCTTTATAGTGGTGGCACTTTTAGTCTCAGCAGGGTATAATTCAGGTGCGTCCAATGTTTCCATTTTAGACTTCACCCTCTGAGGCAAGCCTGTACATGGGTCCTACCCTCTGAGGCAAGCCTGAACATGGGTCCTACCCTCTGAGGCATGCCTGTACATGGGTCCTACCCTCTGAGGCATGCCTGTACATGGGTCCTACCCTCTGAGGCAAGCCTGTACATGGGTCCTACCCTCTGAGGCATGCCTGTACATGGGTCCTACCCTCTGGATTCTGAGGCAAGCCTGTACATGGGTCAGACAATTTGAACAGATTCTAAACAATGGGCTACTTAAGTTTGGTATTTGTATACTGAACTCCATTATAATTTTAATAGACTGTAGTCTATTTATTCAAATTCTATAGGGTAATCGTTTTTGTGCTTATCAATGATTTGAGGATCCTGATATTTTTTTCTCAAGATTGATTTACTTAAAATAGTTTAGCTTATCTGGAGGCATGCAGCTCTAACTTGTAATCTTAACTCGACTTACTATAAAGCTGTATATTTGAATTAGTATCAAATTTTGTTATTAATTTACCGATTGCATTGTTGTATTCCGAAGTACAAGTGTGTTTGTACCACGTATTACATGTATATTAAGTGTATATGAAGTATGGAGGGTATTGATCGTCGAGATTATACAGTTTAAATTAGGATTACGATACTTAACCTTTGATCTTGTTACATTGTATTAAACGTGCACTACTTAAATTTTGTATATGTATAATATATATTTGACATCTGTAATTACACCAATCGATGCATGGGAAAAGAAAATAATTTTGAAGTGGAGAAAAATATGCCTTGAATGCTCTGACATTCATTTACTAAGGCTACCAAATTTTTTCAGAAGTTACATTTGTGCATTAAATGCCCATAATGTTTCAGAAATGCTTTTATTTTTATTTCTCAAAAAGCTTTTTAATTTTGATGTACTTTTAATTATAGTATCCAAAAGTTACTCATTTGGCCAATTACCTAAAATCGTCTTTTTCATTTCTTGCTTTTTAGTTATAATGAATATAAGAATTTAAATATCTTGTACGGAAGTCAAAATACTACTTTGACGTTTGTTTACATTTTGCAACTTTTATGACAAATTATTTCAAATTCATCGCTACTTTCATTAGGTATCAAAAATCTAACATTTCTCTAAAACCATTTATTTAAACATTATAAAATTCACGTTTGCCCTAAATTCTAAAGAACTAAAAATTTATTTGTTTCTTAAGCATAATGTGCATGACTTCAAACTTATTTTGCATCGGTAGATTTAATAGCAGTGGCCAATTTTTTAAATTTTTTTTTTTTTAATTTTATTATTTTTTTTTTTAATCAATTTTTTATTTCTTCAATTTTTTTGTTATAATTTAATTTGCAACAAGAAAACTATTTCTATTTTGTATTTAAAAAGTTTTAAAACATGTAGAAATAATACTTGAATATTAATGAAATTTAAAATGATGATATTAATTTTGCAATAAAAATATATAATTATATAACCCACTTACCTTCAACAAGGATTATTTAATTATTTGTTAAGATATATTAATTCATAAATATATATAATAAACTTTATTCTTGATTTGATTTATATCCCACTCTCTCTCGGAGCTTGTTATCAATTGAAAGAAAAAAAGAACGTAATAATTTTTGCGATTCCTGCACAAAGACCTTTGTTTAAAAACAGTGCCAAGTTTTGAAAGATTATATTGACAGGATATTTAACCTTGTGAGGTTTAAA